TGTCCACATGCTCACACGAGACTCACCCACAAGTGAATCTATTCCAGGACATCTCATACTTTATACCACCAAAATACCAAGAGTAGCACACCACATATGCTGGGGTGTAAAATAGAAGGCAACCAATCTTAGGGGGAAAATATTTTTATAGATGTGTATACAAATATATATGTACATATACACATGTGTATATACATATATTATATATGTCACTAATCTCTTATAGAAGGGCTTAGTGGCTCCTGGGTAAAATAAAACTATCTTCACACACCTTCTTCTAAGAAATTTTTTTGTCTCATTTTTAGGGGATTATTCATAACAAGCAATACAAAATAAATTATTTCGGTTCTGCTTGGGGGCCAGGGTTTCAGGTTCAGGATAGAAATGTGGTGAGAAGGTGTTCAAATATATTAAATATAATCAAATATTGTGAACAACTTTAAAAAATAACATTTAAGAAAAAGAATGTTTTTCCCATAAGAACCACCCTAATAGTGTGCTTTGCTCAGGGAGCACTGGGTTCATGCCTCTCAGTGCTGGGTGACCAGGCCATGCTGACGAAACTCAGGTTCTTGCAGATGTTAGGCTTGTGTTGTACCACTTGACTTCTCTCCCAGGCCCAGAAATGCATTCCTCAAAAAGGGATATCATTCAGTACTATGCTAGAAAGCATTCCAATTAAAAATCCTCTAAGTTTCCTTTTTAAAATTCTGTAATCTTCCTTTTTTTTTTTAAGGGAGCGTTTTGCAGTCATATCTGACTGTGCTTAGGGATCAGTCCAGACAGTGCTTAGGAACCCATGATGGTGCCAGTGATTGAACCTGGGTCAGCTCTGCACAAAGGCGTGAATCTTTGTACCACCTTGCTGTCCCTCTAATTTTACTTTTAACACACTATTATCAAATTGTTTTTGCTCATTTGCTTTTTGTTATGAAAAACTGGGCATATTCAAAACGTTTTACAATTTTAAGACTTTGAACAAATTCAAATTGGTTTCAGAGAAATAGACCCTTCTGTAGATACTTCCTCTTCTTCCAGGTAAATATGTGCCAGTTAATCTTGATAAGAAATTTACCATACACTGATCTGGTTTCTACTTCTCATGAATTTCTTTCAATCAATGACAATCAATGAGAGAATGTAAATCGGCATTTCAGGTAGTTGCCAGAGGCTTCGTGTGTGCTGTTCATCTTTTGTCAAATTCTAATACAAGTTCCCACTAATTGTACGTTAAAGGTTAAGATTTAGAGCATGATCATAGAACCTCAGTAGAAATGCTTTACAAAAATAGAACAATAGTTCCAAATGGCAAAAAAGCACATGAGAAAATGCTCTACATCATTAATCATCAGGGAGATGCAGATCAAAACCACAATGAGATACCATCTCACACCTCAGAGACTGGCCCACATTCAAAAGAACAAAAGCAACCGATGCTGGCGCGGATGTGGCGAGAAAGGGACACTGTTTCACTGTTGGTGGGAATGTCGACTGGTTCAGCCTTTCTGGAAAACAGTATGGACGATTCTCAAAAAAATTAGAAATTGAGCTCCCATTTGACCCAGCAATACCACTCCTGGGAATATATCCCAGAGAGGCAAAAATGTATAGTCGAAGTGACATCTGCACTTGTTTGTTCATTGCAGCACTCTTTACAATAGCCAGAAACTGGAAGAAATCTGAATGCCCAAGAACAGATGACTGGTTAAAGAAACTTTGGTACATCTACACAATGGAGTACTATGTAGCTGTTAGAAAAGATGAAGTCATGAAATTTACATACAAGTGGTACAACATGGAAAGTATCATCCTAAGCGAAATGAGTCAGAAAGAGAGGGATAGACATAGAAAGATTGCATTCATCTGGGGAATATAAAGAAACAAAATATGAGATTAATACCCAAGAATAGCTGAGATCAGCACCAGGAGGATTACTCCATAGCTTAGTGACCAGTCGGGCATTCTAGAGGAAAGGGCAGCTCAGATAGAGAAGGGAACACCAAATAAAGGGTGTTTGGAGGATCCTCCCAGGAGGGGAGATGCATATCGAAAGTAGACTATGGACTGAACATGTTTGCCACTCAATGCCTCTTTTGCAGACCACAACATCCAAAAGGAGAGAGAGAACACAGGGGATTGCCCTGCCACAGAGGCAGGGGGGGATTGGGGGATGGGGGTGGGGGGGATATTATCCATGGTGGTGGAAAATGGGCACTGGTGGAGGGATGGGTATCTGATCATTGTATAATCAAACCCAAGCACAAAAAATTGTAAATCTACAACTGTACCTCATGGTGTTTCACTAAAAAATAAAAAATAAATAAATAAATAAATAAATAAATAAAAAGAAAAAAATAGAACACTAGTGCTGCCTATATTTGGAACTTGATTAAATCAACACCAAGAGAAATTGTCTGTACTTTTTCTTTTTTTTGTACTGTTATTAGAAATAATTTTACATTATTTTATTCAATGTCTATGAATAAGGCATATAGTCTTTTTGCTTTTTGGGGGGAGAATCACACCCAGCGATGCACAGGAGTTACTCCTGGTTCATGCACTCAGGAATTGCTCCTGGCGGTACTCGGGGGACCATATAGGATGCTGGGAATTCGAACCTAGGTTGGCTGCATGCAAGGTAAACACCTTACCCGCTGTGGAGCGATAGCACAGTGGTCAGGTGTTTGCCTTGCATGCAGCCAACATGATCGACAAGTGTTCGATTCCTCCGCCCCTCTCAGAGAGCCTGGCAAGCTACCAAGAGTATCTCGCCCACACGGCAAAGCCTGGCAAGCTCCCCATGACGTATTCAATATGCCAAACACAGTAACAACAAGTCTCAAAATGGAGACGTTACTGGGCCCGCTCAAGCAAATCAATGAACAACGGGAGGACAGTGACAGTGACATGTATAAGGACCACCCCCCCAGGGTTTAGTTATGGAAAAAAAGTTTATCTTTGAGAATTTTAATAAAATTTAACCTCACCATACACTCTCCTGTTATATTTATTCTTAATCTGTTTCCTAATTTATTACCTATTTTATTAGCTCATCATTATTGCTTTATTCTTATTTAATGACAATACAATATACATACTTTTTAAAAAAATACTTTATATTCATTTTGGAACTTGTAAAGTTGTAAATAATAATGTCTATTTATATCATGATTATGTGTAACCAAGATTAAATCATTCATTTTTGCAAATTTTTGTGAAAGTCATTAAAAGAAGCTCATCTGTGCAAATCAATCTACACAATGTGTTTGGATATATATATGTATGTACATACATATAATACATACATATTACTCCTTATGGATAATTCATTAAACAAAGAGTGAAGTAAATAATTCAAATTTACCTGTTGTTTTCATGAAAAGCAATATCAGTCTATTTAATTTAAAATTTGTTTTATATTTGTGAGAGAAACAGTACTTTTAAAATTGTAAAGATATTCCATGAAGAGCTATAATAGCAAATCAATCTTTTTAAGTTATAAATAAGGAAAGTGAGACCCAGAAAAGTTAAGGAAATTTAAAAATAAATTGTACAGGCAGTAGAAAAAGACGTGACCTTATGATTCATTCTTTAAACCACCCCAATTTTTTTCTTTTTACTAGTCTGTGCTCACGTGCAATTTATTTTTGCTTTTAGATTTTTGTTTTGTGTTTGTTTTTATTATGTACTCAGCAGCGTTCAGGGCTATTCCTGGCTGTATTCACAGGATTACTCTAGGCATTGCTTGGGGGTCTGCATGCAAGAATAGAACAAAAAATGTTTGTTTGTTTAGGGGACATACCTGGCTATGCTCAGGGGTTACTCCTGGCTCTGCACTCAGAAATTACTCCTGGCAGTGTTCTGAGACTATACGGCATGCCAGGGATTGAACCTGGGTCTGTCTCTGCAAGGCAAGTGCCCTACCCACTGTACTAATGCTCTGGCCTCTGTTTTTCCTTATTAAATTGAAAAATAATATTGATGTTTTAAAACTATCTGCCAAGAACTGAGGAAAAGGTTGTTTGGAAAAGGCCACGTATTGAGGTTATGATAATGATGGAATCTACTCTGCTTAGCTTATTTAAACCTTACAATCAAGTTTTATTGCCTCTATCCTGTTGAACTGCTTTAACTTTATTATATGCAGATAATATGATTTTTTTGGTCTCAGATCTAGTCAAAGATGAATTATTATTACGTAAATCATCACTAATTTTTTGGTTAATTCTAAGGTGACCTTTACTTTCAAATTTCAGTTGCCACAAGGATTTGAGCTGGTCTTCAAGAATTGAAGTTTTTCAGGATTGAAGAAATCAGAGGGTAAGACACTTGCTTTGTATGCGGCTGACCCTGGCTCTATCCCCCAGATTCCCATGTGGTATCCTGAACTTGCCAGTAGTGACCCCTGAGTGCAAAGCCTGGAGTCAGCCCTTCGCACAGCTGGGTGTGGCCCCAAAACAAAACCAAAAAGAATTGAAGATTTTCTTTAGGAATTGTTCTTGAATTCAGGTGATCTGAATTAAAGTGCAAAATTGTTTCAGTGCTTTTTATCTTATACAATTGTCTTAAATGTATATATATATAAAATATATAAATGTCTAATTGAATAAGATGTTTATATATTTATATTTCCTACCATTAATAGTCTAAATTCACAATGTTTAAAAAAGAATAAGGAAAATGAGTGAAAAATAGCTCATAAATGTGTGGATTAAATTTACTGAAGAAAAAGGTATAATGTTCCCCTATGTTTTAGTCAGGCAGGACTATTGGAATGAAGTGATAACCAGTCCTTCTGTATTGTTCACAGTTAAGCAAAAACAATCTGATTTAAGATGCAGGAACTCTGGGAGACCTTATGAATAAAACACACCACATAGAGAACTCACACAGAGATTATCAAACTGAAAATGGACACATGTGGGACTCATAAAGTCCCACAATGTATGTGTGTGTGTGTGTGTGAGAGAGAGAGAGAGAGAGAGAGAGAGAGTACGCAGATGCATCAGGTTCTTGCATGAGTTGAAAATTACGCAGGCATAGTAATGCTTGACTCACTCACTCAGCTTTATCACCGATACAAGCAGCTGTGTCAGCCAAGTAAAATGGCCTTTGGAAATTTGTTTAGGGATGATTCAAAGTACAGGAGGCGGTGGGCCACAAAGTCAGGAGTGACCCAGTATACTGTCTCTGTTAGCACCAGTCTCTCTTTGGTAACATTGAAACAATCAGACTTGCAAAGTATCAGTATATTTTATTGACCTCATGATGCTCACTGACATCATGGGAACCAAACTTTATAGCATTTTTTTCTCCACCCATTAATGCAACTTGCAATACATGAAGCCTAATTGATATTCCTATTACACAATTTTAGCAATTGCCTTATGTTTCTATTCCACTTTATAACTTTGTCACTTCCCTATTGTCTGGCACATAGCAAAAAGTTAGATAAATGACCAAGTCCATTGTATTGTAGAGATATATGGCTACACCTCATGGCGTTTCACTAATAAAAATTAAAAAATAAAAAAAAATTTTTTTAAAAAGAGATATATGGCTAAAAGTTTCCTTAGTCGTCATCTAGTCTAGCACTTTTGTTTTACACAGATGTAGACATTGATGTACTGCCTTTAGCAACTTTCTTAACATTACACAAGTAATTTATAAACAATTTAGGACTAGAGGGCAGATTTGGCACACCCAGTTAGTGCTGCCTTGAAGGCTACAGTGTTTTGGAAACCATAGCTTTAGAGACAGAGATCCACATTCACCAGCAAGATTTCCAGGAATGTCAGACAGTGCCATACTTCTGTTTTCAATTGTTTGGGGGCCATACCCAGCTATACTCAAGGCTTACTCCTGGCACTGCACTCAGGGATCACTCCTGGTGGACTCTGGGGACCAGATGGGATGCTGGGATTAAACCCAGGTGCAAAGGAAGCACCCTGCCTGCTGTACTAGCCTCTCTGGCTCCCCGATAATTTGTTAAGTGAATTGTAAATGTGAATGATATGAGGAGAGCAGATGGCTGGTGACCTGGCTCCTTCAGTGTTAGGACAACTGGGTGTTGTAGACCTGACCATACACACCTCCCTGAGATCTGAGGATAATTTAGTATAGCCCTGGGTGGGGGGGGAAGGGGGCTGGGGAGGGTGAAGGGATACAGGGATACTTGAAGGTCGGAGACACATCCACTGCTTTCAGCGGTCATTTCTAACTCTAGAAACTCAAGAGTGCCCTCTGGTGGTGCTCGGAGGTCAGCCATATGCAAGACCTTACTTCTGTCTGTCCTTTGTACTCTCTCTGCCTGATTAAATAGGGGAATTATAATAAATCCAAATGAAACCTTACTGAGATATTTGCACCTATATTATAAAAGAGAAAAAAGCTCTTTATAAAAGTACCATTGACTATTGTTATTTCAAATAATGCTTTAAGTCTTGGCCTTAAATTATGTCTGATGTTTGCCTTGCACGCAGCCAGCCCGGCCGAGCCGGGTTCGATTCCTCCGCCCTCTCGGAGAGCCCGGCAAGCTACCGAGAGTATCTCGCCCGCATGGCAAAGCCTGGCAAGCTACCCATGTTGGCTATCGAATATGCCAAACACAGTAACAACAAGTCTCATGATGGAGATGTTACTGGGCCCACTCGAGCAAATCGATGAACTATGGGAGGACAGTTTGTTTATTTTCACGTCTAAGAGCATATAAAGTTTTCTAAGCTTTAAAGATGTTGAATTGTTTATTGTTAATGAACAAGTTAGGACTAGAAGGCAAATTTGACAGACCCAGTTAATACTGCCTTGCGCTTTTTGGGTTTTACTTTAAAATACCTAACATGGATTTGCTGTTAATATTAAACAAAAGATGTTAGACACATCCAGCCCCCTACCCCCTTAACGGCAAAGCTATTCTCTCCCCATCCACTGCACCCTGTTTGTTTACATAATTCAAAATATCGATCTATCCCTTCACTCTTTAGAGGAAAAGCATCCATGTAGTTTACAAGCCTCGAGGTTATCTTGAATTGATACCAAATACTCAGGACAATGGCATAGATTACATAAGAGCAACTGTGTTTTAATTTGTGGCGGTGTTCTCAAGCAAGAGTTAATAACATTTGAGTTTTGATAATGGAACGCCTCACGGATTTGCGTGTCATCCTTGCCCAGGGGGCTGGAGCGATAGCACAGCGGGTAGAGCATTTTCCTTGCACACGGCCGACCTGGGTTCGATTTCTCCATCCCTCTCGGAGAGCCCGGTAAGCTACTGAGAGTATCTCACCCGCACGGCAGAGGCTGGCAAGCTCCCCGTAGCGTATTTGATATGCCAAAAACAGTAACAACAAGTCTCACAATGAAGACGTTACTGGTGCCCTCTCGAGCAGAATCGATGAACAAAGGGAGAACAGTGCTACTGTGCTACAGAGTTTTGATATGGACTGAGACACACGAGACACCTTCCCCTCCCTGGGGAGCACCAATGGACTTCCCCAGTGTACAATGCCAGAGGCCAGCTAAGCCAGAAGCAAGACTGGCTTTTCTTTATCATCTTCCATTTGTACATTTTTGGTGTGCACCCAATGATCGATTCCAGGACTGTTTATCTTTTTCCTGTTTTAATGGTATTAAATAATCATGACTATTTTCATCCAGCAGCTCGTTAAGGGCTTGTAGCACACAGAAGCCAACCTTGAGAGCTTTTCCTCCACTACCAGGCCAGGTGAGATGGAAAAGACTTTTCCGCTCCAATTTGGCATCTGTTCGGCTGATAATGCATTTCCTCTCAGAACAGGTGTCGAAGAAGTATCAAGGAAATAAATTACATTGCCGGGATTTTCAGTGAGACGGGATTCTGCAATTCAGTCATTTTGTGTCCTAGTCTCTGGGCTGTTGGTGGGAAGAAAAACAGGTTCTGCAGCAGTTCTGGAATAGAGCCACGGGGGGGGGGGGGGGGGGGGGGGGAATAATTGGCAGAACTCTGGAAGCACTCTGCAGTGCTCAGCTGCCTGATGGCTCCTGCTGTTTACTGCCAAAAGCGCAATCCCAAGGGGAGTAAAGACCCCAAAGTGAGTTCATACAACAGGGAATGTGGCGGGAACAGCTGTGCTTTTAACGTCAAGTGTCAAGGTGAGAAAAACACCAGGATAAAAATAAAATGGGCTTCATGACAGCACCGGCTTACCTGATGTTGACTGTACCGGTTGCTGCAGGCTTGGATGAGCTTCAAGGTTGCCACGGTGCCTGGGCTGGTCCAGCTGACAGCACTGATCCTTATCAATCAAAGGCTAGCGAAATCCCTGTGGATCTGGACGATCCCAACTGGCACTGAAGGAAGATCAATGTCTCTGACAGGCTCTCAGAGAAACTTTTTGATGTCATGAAGAAATACGAAGTTAGAAAGTGAAGACACAGATGCCGAGAGAAATAAGTTCTTAGAGTACTTTGTTTAGATTAGCACTCTTAACTGGCTCCCCTGCAGATGTCATTTTTTACTTAAGTAGCTGATCTGTCAGAAAGAAAAGGTTGGAGCTTTGCAACGAACAGCGATAACAAGATTAAATATGATTTGCTCATTTTTTTTCTTTTGCCTGCATGGATTATTTGACAGAGGAAGTGGAACTATAGAGGATCCTGAGCACTGAAGACAACGATCAAGTTGCAGAGACATTGTAATTGTAGTATGCAAATTTGCCAGGTCTACCAGTCATCATTTTCTCTGTGTCTGCAGAAATATTTGGAAATACTCAGTTTTGTTTGTTTTCAATATATTCCACGATAAAGATAAAAATTAGAAAGCAATATTTAAAGAACTGAAAAACACAACCTATTTCAATTATATACATATGTTGTGACTGCCAAGAGAAAAGAATCCACGTAATCTCAAGAATGAAGATCTGTCTTGGATTTGTTTTGCCAGGATCAATGGGATTTTTTTCCGTACGTCAAATTACTTTTGTGAAAGTATGTCATGATGACTAGTCAGCTAAAGTTCCCACGTATGTTCCTTCTCTTTTTACCCTTGAGTGGCTCCCCAAAGATGGAAGGACTTCAAGAATGTAGTGTTCCCCCAAGAAGCCAATCCAAAAAGAAATAGGATTTGAACTGGGAACCAGGTGCATAAGATCCATGTGGAATGTATGTGTATGTGTGTGTGTGTGTGTGTGTGTGTGTGTGTGTGTGTGTCTGTGTGTCTGTGTGTGTGTCTGTGTGTGTATAGGGGTGGGTGTTGTTAAGCGAAGATTTCCTGCTTTTCCAATATTTGAAACTGTAGCACTGTAGCACCGTTCTCCCTTTGTTCATCGATTCTGCTCGAGCGGGCACCAGTAACGTCTTCACTGTGAGACTTCTTACTGCTTTTGGAATATCAAATACGTCATGGGTAGCTCGCCAGGCTTTGCCATGCATACGGGATATTCTCGGTAGCTTGCTGGGCTCTCCGAGAGGGGTGGAGGAATCAAAGCCGGGTCAGCTGTGTGCAAGGCAAACGCCCTACCAGCTGTGCTATCGCTCCAGCTATGTCTACAGCAATGTTTTTCAGACTGTTTAAATCAGCCACCAGTAACCAATCTCTGGTCTGCCAGTTGAAAACTACCATATCAGAGCTTTATGGGATGTCAGAATAACTTCCCAGATGACAAGGCTCAATAAAATTTAAAATAACCATCAATGAAATTTAGCTTTTTATTTTTTTTAATAAACCCAATATATACTTACAGAGAATAAAAATTTTATTCAGCAGCTAAAGATCAAAGATGACATTTTAACAGAATATATTATGTTCAATTAAAACAGTCTGTGGTCTGAATACAAACAGAAGATTAGTATTTGGCTCAGATTCCCCTGATCCTCACTGACAGCTTCTATTTTCTTCTCAGAGAGGGCAAGATATCTTAATACACAAAAATAAAATTTGGGGGTAACTGGAGAGAGTGTATAGACGTTAAGAGACTGACTGATCCCAATTCAAATTCCTAGCACCATATGTGGTCCCCTGAGCACTGTCAGTAGTGAATCCTGAGTATGAGCCAGGAATTTGCCTTCAGCACAACCAGATGTGGTCACCCCTTCTTTGCTTCACTGTCCCAAACCCATTCCCCCCAAAGGATTTGAATTTCAGTGGGAAAGAGATACAGTGAATGGTGGGGCCCAAGAGATGACATAGTGGCGAGGGCTTTGGCCTTGCACACAGCCATATAGGTTTGATCCCTGACATCCTATGCGGTGCTTCAAGCACCACCAGGAGTAATTCTTGCATGCAGAGCTAGGAGTAAGCTCTGAGCATTGCGAGTGTGGTTCCCTCCTCCCAAACCCCCTCCCCCAAGGTATTTCATTTCATTTTTTTCATTTCATCATCCTGTTATTCGTCGATTGCCTCGAGCAGGCCCCAGTAACGTCTCTTTCATCCTTGCCCTGAGATTATATTCAAGGCTATTTAGGAGAATGAGACCCATCATTGTTACTGGTATTTGGCATATTTGGTACGCCACGGGGAGTTTGCCAGACTCTGCCCTGTGGGCAGGCTACATTCGATAGCCTGCAAGTTTGTCCAAAGTAGGAATGAGACAATAAGATGTCATAAAAAAAAGTCCTGATAAGAGCTGGCTTTTATAGTCTCTGAGTCTTGGCCGCTGATGGGATTACATGGCGCCAGGGGGCCAGGTGGTGGGTGTGACCCCCGCCTACTGGAATTTGGAGGATCTGGGTGGAAGATGCTCGACTCCAATTCGAGTAGGCTTGGAGGTCTCGGCCCGGAACCCGCGTGGCTTTGTCCCTCTGCCAGTACCTTCATGGGTGCGGAGAGTGGTCTCAGCATGGTGGTGGCTGGTCCTGGAGGTCTTCGGCTGCCGTAGCCCTGGTCGGGGCGGGGAGGAAAGCTCAACCCGCTCCCCTCCAAGGTATAGATAAAATGAATGATGTGATAGGCTGGGTAGCACTGTCCTCCCGTTGTTCATCGAGTGGGCCCAGTAACGTCTCCATTGTGAGACATCTTGTTACTCTGTTTGACATATCAAATATGTTACTCTGTATGACATATCGACGTATATTCAATATGTCATACAGAGTAACATATCGATATGTTACTCTGTTTGTCATATCGGATATACTCTGTTTTGACATATCGAATACGTCACGGATAGCTTGCCAGGCTTTGCTGTGCGGGCGAGATACTCTCAGTAGCTTGTCGGGCTCTCTGAGAGGGCCAGAGGAATCGAACCCAGCTCGGCCAGGCCAGCTGCACGCAAGGCAAATACCCTACTGCGGTACTATCGTGGTAGGCTGGGTGTGGGAGGAAAAGAATCTTCTCTGAACTACACATTTCACTCTGGAATAAATGTAGGAGGGTAGGGAGAAATCCAATCGTGACTTGTCAGTTACCTGTCAATAGTCATTCTCAGCTCTGTTCTTAACAGTGAAACTTAAATGTTTGTTGGTATGAAAATAAAAAATAACATCTCTGAGTTTCCATTGGGGCTGAATGTGTCCAATCATGTTATTCAGTTCAGGACAGAGAAGTCTTAACTACAAATGATGCATGGATGTTGTAGTCAACTTCCAGAAAGGACAGTTGCTGTGGTCCCTGCCCTCTGTCTATTTTCCAGGCCTTTCTCCATCCTTCTGGCAGACCTGCAGATGAGATGGAGTAATTAGAGTAATTAGTACCCTTGGGATGGGAGGTTATGTCAGGTGAAATTTCTGCTTTTTGAGTTCCACATGCCTACATACAGATCTGAGATGAAAGCACATTTCTACATCCCTCAAGGCACAGGAATTTGGGGTGTTGTTACCTAAGAAAAATTCACCTTTCTAAGTTGTGTTGAACGTGACTGTGTCTGTATACATGAGTATGTGCCTGGGGAAACATTTGAGGGATTTGGTGATGAAACATTTAAAGGAAACATTGACTGTTTCCTCAATATTTCAATTTCTAAGAAATAGAAACTGATTTTGAAGGATAAACACATCCATAATATTATATGGATTTTCACCTAACAGAGCTATATGGACTCCTTCATAGTCTGTGGACCTTCATGATAAGTATCTAGTGCTTGGCTTGTTTTTACAATATTGGGTGAAAGATCCTATAAAAAAATTCTACTCATCATAGTGTTTGTAGCCTTTATTATTTTCTTATACATTTTATTAACTAAGCATAAATATTCAAAATGCCAGGGTGAGGGAATTTTATGATTAATCTTTATTGTATAGTTATGAATTGATAGAAAATATTCAGCTGTGTTATAAATTTGTAGCATATGGTCAGATGTTGGGCTGGAGCGATAGCACAGGGGGTAGGGCCTTTGCCTTGCACGCCGCTGACACAGTCAACCTGAGTTCGATTCCTTCATCCCTCTCGGAGAGACGGGCAAGGTACCAAGAGTATATACCAAACACAGTAACAAGTTTCACAATGTCACTGGGCCCGATGAAGCTAATCGATGAAAAATGGGAAGACAGTGACAGTGACAGTGATGGTCAGTTGTTACAGAGATATACTGTAACTGTTTTCTGATCTATTTTCTGTTTTTAAAGGCAAATAAAAATGTATGCAAGGTTGTGATGTTGTATATTCGTTAGTATCATGTATCATGTATTTTATTTCATCTTTTTCATCTTTGAATAAATAAATAAAAATCATGTATTTTTATTTCATCTTTGATTTTCTCATTAACCCAAATTTATTAAGTATAATTTTGTTTATTTTTCACAAATCTATGGTGTTTTTCTTTTGGTTGAATTCTAGCTTCCTACCATTGTGATTCAAATGATACTTGATTCTTGACAAATTCATTAGGACTTGAAAAAAAATAACATTGGTCAAGAATCTTTAGGGTTAAGAACAATTGGAATAGATGCAAAAATTCAGTTCTCTGTTTCTTTGCTATTCATTCACAGGCTTTTTTTGATGGGGCAGATTATTTTGTTTTGGGGTCACATTCAGCAGTGCGGAGGGAATTTCTGGAGCATTTCTCTCTGTCAGTCTTGGTGTTTCTCCAGAGCAAGCCTACACTTCCCACATGCATGTGTTTGAATGTGCTTTCTCCTTTTTGAAGGGAATTTATGTAGATGTTTCTTAGTCTAGGTAACAGATAATTATTCCACAGCACTTATTAGGAACGTTTTGTGCATTAAACTTTTTGCTGAGTGCCAGAATACTAGGGAAGACCAAAATAATGAAGAACAGACAATGAAGAAGTTCCAGATATGTGCATTAAGCACAACAGAAAGCTGTTTTTTCTTCCTTTTTTGTTGTGTCAGTGCTGAAGAAAAAAAACTAAAAAGCTGTTTTATGCTTGAAAAGGATGGTTTAAGAATGTCTTTGCAGAAATTGCTTTCTTATTTTCATTTGCTATAATTGTTCTAATCAAAGCTTAGGGGGAAATGTGATTACTGAATTTAAAGTTGGTTATTAAATGAATATACATAAGAAATGTAAATTAAAAACAATAAT